GGGAGCGGATCACTCCGAAAATTTGACAACCTAAACTTGACCATACTGTTGGAATTACTTCTTTGTCCCATATATAAAAGTGTAGCTATAGCTAAGGTAAATATTGCTAGTCCTTAATTATAAGGGTAACTATCTTTACACATAACTATTACATAATCTGCTTTGGAGGAGTTACTTCCCCTTTGTGTATCTTCACCACCGGATGTAGCTGTAAGGAGAGGACTCATATAGGCAATGCCTGATGTCCAATTCTGTTGACTTTTTTTGTCAATAAATTAGGTTGAAATTGAAATTGAACCATCTAGTCGCTTGTTATGTGCAAATACATGGCTTCCAGAACTACTGTGAACAAGACATACTCTTCTTTCCTTTTCTCCAATGGGCAGGTATTTTGCTGACAAGCCAAAATCTAGACCTACTTTGCCAGATGAGCCGCGGCGGGGTACTAGTCCTCGTGATGTCTCTTTCGACTAGTCCATCATATATATCCGCTGTAAGTTTTGAACCTGTGTTACGACGCACTGGAGAGTTTGGAGTGTAGGTCAGACATAGCATGGTACTAAGAACGTTTTGCAAGGGTACAACCGTCATTCAGAGTCTTCATCATCGAATGGTCCTCCTAAGGACTGACCTTTTGGCGGAAGTAAACATTTAATGCATTGTACAAGAGATTACTGTATTCCAGGCACAGCCATTTTAATGCAGGATGTGTTTTTTTGTCGTAAAACGCAGAATGTTTTTTTCCGGAAAAGGACTCACTATAACCTACTCGGCATCGTCAGTCGTTAAGGCCATTACGCTACTTCGGTTTTCTGGCGGCCTGGTAGAAGAATAGTCTGGCTTACTAAAGTACCTCCTTATTTGGCCCATATCCTAGCTTATAAACAGAAGGACCTGAAGGACTCGGTGGCTTCTGCACTACAAGCTTAGAGAGTTTCTCCCGATAAAACCAGCACCTCGGGCCGGCGCCTCCAAAGATGACACTTAACCGTTTTGTTCCGTACATCCCGCCTGGTGTCAAACATTTATTCAATTTGGTTCGGTTTGTTTGTGTTTTTACGTACTATCAACAGCTATGTCTTTTAAGGACATACCAGGTTTTGATGATGGAGGAAAGCCGCAGTTCCCGAAGAAAAACCACCGACCAACGGCCAGTACTTGGCGACTGCCCCACGTAGATCTCGAACCCGCGACCCAATGGTGGAGTGCTAGTGGTAGCAGAATGTCAGACGCCTTAACCACTTGGCCACCGCAGTCCCTAAATTTGTTTAAGGGGCTTGTCTTTTTCCTTCTTTGACTGAACTATCTGTGTTTCATGTCCGTGTAAAGCTCCATTTGGCTGTATCATCTTTCTTAACGTAATACACACACACTTGATTGCACCTTTAAGATTTGGTAATAAACACAGTACCACGCTACATTATAAAGCTGTTGATTAATCGTTGTATCCTGTATCTTAACAGACAAACATATAATATACACACATATTTGATTGCATCTAAAACAATACAGTTAGTTTAGTACATTTTGTAAGCTGAAAATGAGCAACACTGCATGATTTTCAGTGGTTGTTTAGAGTTTCAGATATTCCTTTATTTACGTGGATTTTAAACACTAGAAACATACAGACAATGTCATTCAATTATATTTACATTTGCTATAATTACAACTGCTCGACTATAATTACAACTGCTCGACTATAATTACAACTGCCTGTTTCAGGTGTAGGAATATGTAAACAAACAAAATGGCCTCCTGAAATGTATTTTGAGGCAGGGCAAATGGTTTTTGTAGGAATACGTCTTAAAAAATATAAAAAATACCTGGTTGTCTGGATGTAATTATTGTTGATATAATTATCAACAATAATTACATCCAGACAACCAGTTAGTGTTTAAGTATTAACCATACACAAGTCTTGTACTTTCTCATTAGAATGACTCTATATTCATATGCAGCAAAACATCGTTAAGTTTGTTTTTCGTATTTGAAACCGCTACTTAAGAGGTCATTTTTCCGTTACAGAGAATTGAATTAAGTATATCAGAGAATCCCACAGGAGAAAAAGACAAGCAACCTTACGAGGTCTATACCACAAATAGGATCCTTATCACTCCGCTGACTGCTTCGAACAGTCGTAGTAGGAAATGAAATACGTGGTCATCATTCGTTTCAGTTTTCCTAATTTGTTTTCTAGAAATATCTCGGATGCGCTAAATGTCAGTAAGATACGGGTTTGATATTTACTGTTTTTGTTTGTTAAGGGGTTGACGCCCACCTAACAGAGAAGGTCAGAGGTTCATACCGGCTAATACAAGTACCGAGGGTAGTATGAACCTCTAGCTAGTCACAGGGTTCTACCATTGGGCCAAACTTTAGAAACATCACGGGAAACAAAACTGATTTACTCCCAATTTCTGTCTGACACATACTTCCACTTGACTTTTTTATTATCGTCGTATATGACATTATTTTGTTGTCACGTCGATAGGATAATATACGAAACAAATATACCATAATGTCTAAATGAAAGTCCAGATGTATGATCAATATGAATAAAATCAAATACTATAAAGTAAAGGCACATAATATTGTGTTACAGCAGCTATGATTGGACCTTATATTAACGGATGTGTCTATAGTGTTATTAGATGATTAGGGGTTTAGATCAACAAAAACGCCAACGATACTACTTTTATATACGATGTTATTAAGTTTTTGTTTATTTACAACTGCATCTTCGTTATTCTCAACAATTGTCCCAATTCAATAATATAATGCCAAATGTAAATAAATCCGGTCTAAAAACAACTACTAAAATATTTCCAATGGTTACACATAGCTAAGTCACCAACGACAGCATTCAGTGACTAATCTATCTGTGTCCAATCGGTTTATAAATCAGTACTTTAGACCATAGCACGTATCTGATGGTTGATTGCATTTAATCTTGGAATACATTATGAAAAGAATTATCGACAAATCGTCCAAAAAAATCATCAATAATACGTTTAATCGGTTTGTCATCCCACTCTACCGATAGATCTCGTAACAAGGCGATAGATCTCGTAACAAGGCGATACATCTCGTAACTAGGCGATACATCTCGTAACAAGGCGATACATCTCGTAACAAGGCGATATATCTCGTAACAAGGCGATACATCTCGTAACAAGGCGATTCACCACATATATGCTCAGAACTGTTAACTATAACTTTTATCTCATTTTCTATTCCATGTCTCTCGCCATGACATGTTTTCTAACTGTGACATTTCAGGTTCTCCTATGATAACAGGCTTGTTTACTACGCCTTAGATATCTCGTGACCTACATTCCCAGACACGAGATATTAGGACAGGCGACTAAACGCTTATCCTTTCGAATCATCTGGATCTTCGCTCGTATTATGTGTTAATGATGCAAATTATTTTGTTTTGATATCTCTTTTGTTCTTGATTTGGCTTTCCGTGTCGAGTTTGAAGCCTTGTGCCGTCTTTCTGTTCCGGCACAGTGTTATTTTCTATATACTCTTCCAACTGGACTTAAACATGGTTAAAAAATAGCAAAACGTTTTGTACGGTTGAATAGAAAACTTACTGAATACGTATTTTGAAATCCTTTTGGGAAGATAATTCACTGAAAATAAATTTCAGGACGAGGTAACGTCATCAAATATATACTTCAACATGGCATACGTTTTTAAAGGGGTTGATTTTCGTGGATTAATTTTGTTCAAGACAATCCTTTTCTCTAGATTAAGTTATCAATAAAAGAGTATCATTAAATAAGATTCGGTTTTCTAAAGAAATAGGTATTTTTTTTTTATTTATCTATCTTTACACAATTATGGAAAAGTCTCACCGTGACCTACTTATCATCTATGTGCAACTGTAGTTTTTCTTGTGTCAGTTCTAGTATAGTAATAGTATAACAGATTAGTGTTGCAATCCATCAAAATTATTAAGAAAGATTCAAAATTATATTTTATTGTTTTGTGAAAATAAGGCAACCTATCTGTTTTATCCCTTCTTACTCCTTCATACCGATATATCGGATTAGCCACAACGCTGACCTTAATTTCGTGTCATATTATGACGGCAAAACCTTGAAGCATATACATGCAATAACTTATCGGTGATAGCCAAAGTCCAAATTTGCACCTATCCCTCGGTCAGATATTGGTTTTATAAATGTCGTTAAGTATACGCAATCGTCACTTTGCATACTGTAGCATACCCATGTGTCAACGTAACAATAGAAATAAGGTATAGTTTGATGTATGTGTCTGCTGCCGACAGCACGGGATTAAACACTGGTCTGCCTCAGTTAATTTTTTCAATATATTAGATAATGAAAATTATTTATATAACTTAATTTGCGTAAATATTTTTTGAAAAATGATTTGTGACGTCATCGAAATATTAAATATGTTATAATCATTATTGGAAGCAGCTTTATTGTACCATACGGTTAAGGAGATAGCAACGCAATGGAATTTTAATCTAGTGTATCATAAAGTTAGCTGATCAAATAAGCATCGACGTGGATTGGATTAATTTGCATGATAACTCTCTCAATCGTTTAATTACGACGAAAGGTTGAAACATATAATCGTATTCGTGAAAACATTGAAATGCATGCAGTTTGAGTCACATATGCATGGTATTTAACGAAAAACATTAAAATAATCTGCTCGTGATATAGTTTGGGTTCAAAACAATGCGTTATTAAAGGCAACACAGGTTGTTCTTTCAATGAAAAGTGTTATTTTCACTATCAGAGATCCGTTTGATCTCTCACTATGCAACAATCCAACGATCTCTCTCGATCCAAGTTTTCGGGCTAAGCCCTTCATCATAATGGTGTGCAAATGGTTTAGCCCGAAAGTTTAGATATGCGAAAGTTATGATATGTTATACAAATGTAAATCATATAGCTCATTTACTGAGCTCATGTTCATCATGGCAAAACTCTTATAGAAAAATGATAAATACATACCTGTATTAACTGGTACATCCAAGTTTAAATAACGTTGACTTTAGTATTCCATATACCCGGATTTAACACATGTTTGCATGAAACATTTACACTGATATCTTAATGTGTGTTCTGTAATTTATGTCTCAGTATTAACGGTGTTTCCCATGTGTATTACTCGGGTAAGAAGACTCTGGTACCCGTCCAGGGGTGTCAAGTCGGTAATGACAATTTCAAGGTTCATGTCCCATGTGAATTCGTTATTAACCTCTCTCCACTGCCACGATGTGTTGACATTTAATATGTGGACACACTAGAGTGTTAAAGGGACGCTAAGTCTAACATGGTGTACCTTTACTGCATTAACCCTCAAATCAGCAAACAATGGAACTGTATTGGACAATAAGATTATATCACTCAATCTTAAGACGTAAACTATGCCATTTAAAACGGGATTTAAATTGTAAGTAATCTTAAATCTGAGCTGTTGTTATATTACTAGAAAGTTTCAATTTAAAGTGTACACGAATTTAAATTGCAACTGTGATATTCTATACAAATTAAAAGTATGTTGGAATTATTATTTAAATATTATTTTTACTAAATTGACCGTATGTATTTCCTCTTTACCTCTCAACACTTGTTCATATGTGTGCCTGTTGATTTTGGCGAGAGGAGACTAACAGGGATTTTGTTTGACCTTTACGTTGTACGCAGGTCCTTTGAATAGCTAGGTTTATGAGTGGAATATCGCCACAATACACAGTAATTATAGCCAGATAAGATGTTGATTAATAAACCTGCGAATTCGACATTATACATTGTTAATAACGAGCATGACAGCTCATTGAATTGGCCGCCAATTTGGCAATCTTCACGTATTGGGCGATAACATCGCTCCCTTACCGTGCCTTTGTCTAGTGTTTTTGACACGTGCGTCCTTATATGAGATCGTTTCAATCTATAGCGATATTACAGTGTTTAGATACGTGTATATTGGTGTGAATTTTGAACATTAACAGATACATATAAGTCTATTGTTATAACATAGGTATTAACGCCAATATACGATATTTTGTTCGCTATGTTCGCGGCCTGAATAAAAACAAGCAAAATGTAAACCGAGCCATTTCGTTGCTAACTATTAAACATATTAACTAGGACTGGTATGCAGTTAAGGTATGAACTTGGCAGATATAGCAACTTTCTGCTTCCCCGAAAACAGATTTGTTTCCCAAGGCAAAACAATACGCTCTGGTCCTAGACCAGAAACTGGCTATGTCATGAAATCATACCCATTACTTGTACATGTATCATTGTACTGAACTTAACCGAACATAAATCATAACTAAATATATCTAATTAAAATCCAATATCCTCGGTCACGTGCTATATATTTAGTTCGGTAACTTCCGTAATCTATGGAAACTGCTCCAGGAATGCTTTGTTTGGTCACAAACTTTTTGGACTCGGAAACTAACTTCCTGGATAGAAATGTAAAGTAATCACATAGATATGAAATGTACGCATGGCAGTTTATGTTTTGTCCCAGACCTTATTTATTTATGTATTCATACAAAAATATCATTGCATTCTAATGACGTCACGATGTTCACAGTACCCGAGGGTTATATTTGCGTATGCTGACAAGTCTACTCAATTTTTGCTTGTTTAACACTTATGTTCATTTTAACGTTCGATCTGGACTGAAAATGAAGAATAATGTCTAACAATACCAAACATGATGATAGTTTTTAATTGTAACGCTCGAAATGTGACAATTTGCCATCAGACTTCAACTTTCACTCTTGTTGGGGTGCGATCGGCTGTCATGGTGATGGTGAGGATGGTATGCAGTATTTAAAGAGTAAACCATAAATCTACCCACTTGCTGGAGCAGCAAGAGACGTATATCTAAACAATAAACGATTCTGGAGAAAAGGGTATAGATAACTGATTTCAGTTTAATGAATTTCACTCCCAAAGGTCGACTTTATTGCATAGCGCCTGACGTCGTTAAACACTTTACAGAGTTTCACTATTAACATCTGAACATGTTCTATAAATCGCTCCATTGCTCCCCATCATCAAAAAGCAGCATATATATAACATACATATAGATGTGACCATACTGGTTGATCTAATGGATATACGCGTACATATTTTTTTTTAAATATTCAAATTTTGTAAATATCAAAATATTGCGTCGTAACATCGCCATAATGGGATTCTTCGATCACCTCGGAAATGGAAGCCATTTATAAAAATCTTCATTAGAATATACGGCCCTTTTAGTAAATGTCAACGTTATCCAATGTGGGTGTCAAGGTCATTCCTTCGAAAAACGTCGATACATGTAATGGCGTGAGCAAGCAAGTTTCACCGCGGAGGTGTTAAAGTCGTCTCCCGTGACAGAAATATGACTTTCTAGTACTAGGGACGTAGGCAATGGTGCAAATAGCCGGTTAGTGTCTAGGGTCATTGTTCATGGCGATCCAGTTGTGAAAATTCAAATGCACAATTCATAAAAAGGTGTATTATCAGGGTCAACAGCAACATTAACCTGCATACGTTAAGGGTATCTTTTATATAGAGATAGTAATGTACGGGTATGTTATTGTATATAGAGTTAGTAATGTACAGGTATGTTATTGTTTATAGAGATAGTAATGTACAGGAATGTAATTGTATTTAGAGATAGTAATGTAAAGGTATGTTATTGAATATAGAGATAGTAATGTACATGTATGTTATTGTATATAGAGAAAGTAATGTACAGGTATGTTATTATATATAGAGATAGTAATGTACAGGAATGTTATTGTATATAGAGATAGTTATGTACAGGTATGTTATTGTATATAGAGATAGTGATGTACGGGTATGTTATTGTATATAGAGTTAGTAATGTACAGGTATGTTATTGTATATAGAATTTAGAGATAGTAATGTACAGGTATGTTATTGTATTTAGAGACAGTAATGTAAAGGTATGTTATTGAATATAGAGATAGTAATGTACAGGTATGTTAT